AACTCAATGTTTTTTTACATTTGTCCTGACGTTTGGCATCTTCTTTGTGTCACCAGCATACTAAGGCCAGGCTGAAATGATTTATAGTACCAACTCTAACTAACGAGGGTCGCATGATCATGGGTTAATCTGTATCTTTGCAAAAGTTTAATTAATTCCAGTAATGCAAAAAAGTTACTTTTATCATTTCATGTATAGATCAGTAAAAAAACAAATGACAGATTTTTTCGACAAGACATTTCACGCTACATTGCATGGCATAGGATTGCTTGAATTATTATTGATATTGATTTTTAGTAACTAAGTCGTTGCATATTTATATTAATATACAAACACATGGAAATTTTCTGTTCGGAGTTGGTCTTCGAATTTGTCATATTGACTGCTGAGCTTATTGTGTTTTTCATTGTACTGATGGAAATATGACAAATTAAACAATGTGCTTCAGAATTTTGTGAAATGCAGAAATATTGCAACTCCCATTTTCTTCGAAAATGCCACCTTCTTCGTGTACTTTAATTTAATCACTCAAGTGTTTTATTCAGTATTCTTTTGCTAGCTTGATGTGTATTCTTAATTGAGTCAAAATGTGAACAAAAAAAAATTACCTTTCTAAAACTACTTTCAGTAAATTGTTTTCTGTGTGAATATTCAATTTCACTTTAAAAGGTTTGAAAAATCTTTTACATTTAAATAAAAAAAATTCCAAAATACTATTACAATTATTGTTAAGCGTTCGAGGGGCCGCACTGGAAGTTCTCTGGGCCGCGAGTTTGACATCCCTGGTCTAGATTGAAGTTGTCCAAAATATATAACATTATTTTATCATGAATCATGATTATACCCTTTTCTGAATTTCTTCTATAGTACTACCAAAATTTGATGAACCAAATATAACACAGGTGTAGTCAGTGAACCGTAATCCTCATTTTTTAAAGCTGTTTTAAGTATGTCTGGCATATTTTGTGCCTTTTTACAAAGAAGACCGCTTATGTAATCTTACGCTTTGGAATTTTAGTTATTTTTCCTCAAGCCCTGCAGGATGTAGGGGCCATACACAACTTTACCGGAGGGTCAAATGTCTTTGCATTCCTCCATAGGTTGTTCTTCTATTGCAAACATTTATGGAGTATTCTAATCATATTTCTTGGAATCAAACTGTCACTGATATGTCGCCAGACTTCTGATATCTCCCCTTCAGCTACAGTTGTCCTGTGAATAAATAATAGGAAATTGAGGTTAGACGAATAGTTGAAAGTTTTGTTTTATGTCGGCCTAATTTCTTGATTGAAATACTCACTATTATTGCTATTGCCTCTTGTGCTGCAGGAGTCTCACAATGCTTAGACAGGTCTGTCCACAACTTTCACATCTGTAGGAGGGGAGATGTATTAATTTTCGTTAAGAATAAATAAAGCAGTCTATATGATTCAGAATGGAAAAGCTAATAAATCCAATATCTTATGTTTTTTGTAAAAAATGTTTTACTGAATTTAATATATAAACTAACTAATAAAGGGGTTTAGTCAGAAAATTATAAGCATTCGTGGCTCCAAATACTTGAGAGATCAGACTATACAATATAGACCGGTATGAGGAAATTTTAGGTGAACTTGTTAACCCATTGATTCAATACGCAAATAAAAGTGAATGAGCAATAGTATGTTACAGCAATAAGTATATATCCTCACTGATTAAAAAAATCTAAATGGAGGTGCATGAACTATTTGAAACCATAAGGGGTAAGTAAATATGCAATTTCGGCAAATGGGCAACTACGTACCGTACTGAATTAATAACTTCGTAGTATTTGACAAAAGCTGGCTTTCCCGCATGTACTTAACAGTGCGATGCCCGGGTGTGATATACAACAATAGTATTTACCTTACCTTTTTCCGATTTATTTTTACCTTCAATTTTCCACATATCATTAAAAACCACAACAATTGTCGAAGCAACCTCGACCACCATTCGTGCTATGCCTTGAAAGCAACACACATCCGCTCGTTTTCGTCTCGTCAAGTATGTGCATTGGAGCGTGCTATCGAATACGATCTTCGGCCAAAAATGCCGGAGTTGCGCATCATGTTGTTTTATGTCATTGCTTGAAGCGACTTTAAACGCGAGATGCGCAAAATACAACAGTAATTTAACTTTAAAACTTTAAAATAACTTAAGGCTTTATATATCTTCTTTAAAAGAACGCGAAATGGGATTTACCGGTACCCAAACATGTGAAGATAATATGAGTGACATACTTCATATCATTAAAGAAACGACAGAGGAGTCTCTGCGGTAAAACGTTCTTCAAGTAACCAAAATTCGCCGCCGGTAGCTCTATTCTTAATAAAATCAGTCATAAAAAGTGGCCAAATGAATAAGAGACAATTTGATAAAAATCGAATAAGAAATGAGGACAAATCAATTTAAACTGCGGTTCGATCTCTTTCGGGTCGAAATTTTTTCTATTTTGAATCGATCTTCTTGTGCTCTCGTGACCCGGATGATGACGTCACTTTGTAAATATCGACTTGTGCGGCGTAACAAGCGAAAAGTCGACGATATTGGCGAACTATGCATTGTTGCTCTTAGCTTTTTATGTCTTCCATCTCTCTTGGGGAAAATCGACATAAGGCCAAGGTTCGTAGGCTATTGTTTTTTATCGGGGGATTTAATCTATTGAACATAAGTTAGTGTATTTGTTTCTCCACTTAAAATTAACTATAATATATGGTACGTCCATATACAGATATATTTTGATGTGCTCAGTCGGAGCTTCCAGATCTTTGGATTTATAGCAACACGGCAGCAACAGGTTTCGGTTATCAGAACTAGAAGATAGGCAGACATTAGATTCTATATAAAGCTACTGATATAACACTATTAGCTTAGTTAGAACTGTCTTACTGCTGTACGGTACGGGTACCGGTACTGTAGCTATTGGAATTTTTTTTTGCTTTTATCGAGTAGTAAAATTTACTCACAGACTTAACGTTACATCAGTTACGGTACATCAGAGGTACCGGTACCGGTAGGCTACATATAGGCTATAATAAAAATATTAATAATATAAAAAACGGCATTATACAAAAACTGCATCAAAGCCCCAGTTCTGCAGTTGGATTGTTCCGATTAAATAATTTTATAGATTACATTCTGTCAGTTGCACGCTGAGAATCTAGGCTTTTATGTGGTTTCAGTAAGTTTGCATGCCGGCTCAGAAGTTTGGCGTGCCGCAGTCCAGCAGTCACTGATTGCAAGCAGGGATTTCTGGACTTGCACGTCGTTGTCTGTACGCCTGGTCATCCAGATTGGGGCTAGATATTGAAAAGTACCTAAGTTATGCGGTGCGGCGGTGTGCAGGTGTGGCTCACCGGGCTAAGCGTTAGGAATACGCTCGCCACCGCACCTCTAATTACTCCAGTACTCTGCGTGGGTTCGCAGGTTCGAATCTCATGCAGGGATGGTTATGTGCGAGAGGATTGCTGGACTCCTCGCTGTCGTTGGGTGGTTCACGTAACTGCTGGTCGGTTACGGCTTCCTCCACCACCAAGTCCATGCTTCCGAAAACAAACAATAAAACTAATCCCATACCTGAATTGGAATGGTAACCGGACGAGAGGCCGTGGCACGCCATATGGATAAGCTGTCTTATCGGCTTTCCTCTCCCCCGGGATAAATATGTAAATCCTATCCTATCCTCTTCCTATGTCTGTATGTATTGGGACTCCAAGATGACGGTACGACCTCTGGTTGTCTGGGTTATCTGTTAATCAAAGTCAACCACCAGCTAGTAAGTACGAAGTTAGTAGTCAGTAGTTTAATCTTCCCAATCCAATAATCCTAAAATTCTGCATTGTCTGCGCAGTTTGAACGATCGTCTGTATATTTTGTCAGACATCATTATTACATCACTGTGACGTTGTAGTGATGCAATTTTTGGATGACATAATCAGATGGGAGTAAGGAATGACATATGCCAAAATTGTTGAACTAAACCCAATAGAAGTACTTGTAGCACTACCTGGCTGTATACAATACTCCAAAAAGTGGTGGAAGATTTTTCTCTACTTCAATAATATTTGTTTGAAACTATCATCACCCAGTCACTTTTATCCAACATTAGTTATGAACTAACTTTTAATTGATAAAGAGTCTTCATTTTCCGAAACCTTTTATTGAAATCTGAGAACTAAACATGTTCTTCCTGTTCAATACTTAATCTCTGGTACTATTGTGCAAAAATCCTGAACAACATACGAAAAACTTCTACTTTGCGAGAGTATAGACAGATAGATGCCTCACCCAAACAAAAGAGAGGCTGTTTGCTTAAATGCGATTGGCACAATATAGTCTACTTTATCTTATTACAAACCACTATTGATCAACAGTCAATGGAGTAATTAAGCATCAATGTTGCTGATATCATGCTATAATTTTGCTCTTCACATTTTTTGCTTTGAAATTTTGAACAACTACGGCTGTATGCATGTTTATGTTTCCTATTTTTCATACAGCGAATGTTTAAAAATGTAAAATTAATCAATATGAAAAAGAAATATATTGTCAAATGGTATTTCATTTCCTATTATGTCTTATGTTGGATGAGACTAGATTGCGTGAAAAAAATCCTTTCAGATATTAAATTTTTATTTGTCTTGATTATAATATTTGTATAGTGTCTTTTTAGCCAAGTTCAATTTTTTTTTATTATATTGTTCTGTGCAACTGTCGTAAAAACTTTTGTTGTTAAATGTAAATCAGTAAATTGTAATAAAGCAAGTGCAATTTTGGAAATCAATAAATCAATATGGCTTTCGGTTTTGTGCTCATCTGTTGGCTGCAGTGCAGTTAGAAAGGATGAGTAGAAATGGAGAGCTGATAACTTCACTCTGTTTGTCTGTATAGGAATAGAAGAAGGTAGTTCTAAAAGAATACAATGGAACAAGACAATATAAGGTTTATTTAGCTATCGACAAGAGGGTTCAGTGTCTCAAAAAGTGTTTCATTTTTTCATAGGTATTGTAGGTTATTAGGCATTGCATAACCAGCTTGCTGATATAAATATTTTATATTCCTGTTGACTGAATTGATCTTTGGAAATAGATCATTACCCGAAGTGGTTCAAAAACAGTCTATTTGGAAGCCCTGCAGCTATTTATCTTGATATTTAAACTTCAACAACAACCAAAATGTGAGTATCCAAATTATTTTATTTGTAGTTCAATGATCAAGTTAATTTATAATTTGATTGTTTTTTATTTTATTTCAGAATAAATAATAAGTAGGTGTCTCCCTGAGTCCCTGATGTCAAATTTTTTTTTTGATTCAGTCTTCTGTCTTCATTATTAAACAATCAATAGAAATCTTTATTTTCTTTCATTTATATTTTTTGTATTGTTAGTCAGTTGCATTAAAATTTGTATAGTGAAATCAATGAATGGTAGGTAGCGGGTACGGTACGTATCAAATTGAATTTGTGACAATAAATTTTAGAAAACTGAACTTACAACTTCAACAATTAGTTGTGATTGCTTTCATATTCTAAGTATGTTGTCGTGATTTGTATGGCTGGGTCTTTATTACAATTCAAAATCTGGATTCTCATATTAATAATTTTTCGTTATACTGATCTGTAGATCTATTCTTGTAAATGATTCTAGTGATAGTCTAGTTACCACATAAATAAATATTGCTCTCAAAATGACAACAGCATAAGGACAGCGTAATTGAAATTTGGGTGGACAAGGAAAATGGTGTAATTTATTGAAGTGAAATGAAATATAATATCTCATCCATACTAACTTTATTCCTGCATTGCTTCATCATTTAAAACCTTCATTATCATAAATATTATACTATATTAGTATTTCTATGATTTAATTATGTAATATCCTTATATTTAATTTATGGTATGAGTAATATGAATTCATATTATTTCTTAAGTAAGAAGTATGCTTATATAAGAAAAATATGTACGGCACAGGATATAGTTTGCGACCATTTTAACTTCTATCGCATTGTATACACATCTAAGGGTGAGGATGCATTTAGATTCAATTCCACTTCTGGAATTCCTTTTGATTTAAATATCATGGTGTTTCGTTTATATGGATTTTCATAAGCTCATCATGATGTATGATATCCCAAATTTTTACCATTATTTCGAGCCACCACACTTCATATTTTTGTGGCCATGACTTCCTATGTTAATGATAATATTTGAATATTTTTACCCATGCTTGCGATGGTAGCTTACACAATTCAATATCAAGAATAGACAATGGCAAACTACCAGCCTGTCCCCAGTGAAAGGTAAAAATAAATTGATGTTGATAACTTTAATTTTTAATTTGTTATTTTTTTTTTAATTTTCAACGTGATTGTGATGTGTGCGTGATCCTTTTCATTTCTGCAACATGGAATTGAAATTTATAGCAGATATCAAGCATAAAATTTTTCATTGTACAATATACAATGCTATACTATTGGAATTGGATTTGGCTGAATGTACAATTCCTAACACAATTTTGAAATTATGCTTTAAAATCTGAATTGATATAGGAAATAGGATGTCTTTTATGTCTATGCATGTGGTTAATCAACTTAATTGGACCAAGAATTTTTATTCTGAAGTATAACTGAATGTTTATTATACCTAAATGTTTCAATTATATTTACATATGCTCACATGTCATCATGTAATATTATCGAGGCAATATCATAATTCATTCATCAATATGAACTTGTTTTAGTTTGATTTGTATCAGCATTCATATGTCATTTCCATGATTCCTATTTTTTGAAATTTTATTTTGACAAATGCAGTCAAATTTTGATCATAAGGTTTTTAATTACCTTATTGATTGATTGCTTCTGGCATTGCATTGATTTTATTGGGCCCATATGATGATAACTTCATGTATTGATTCTCATTGATTATGAAAAAAGATTTTTGAACTGGTAGTTCTGAAATTATGCTTTCTCTTCCATATGTCATCAATGGCAGTTTCCACAAATCTATATAATCAATCCAATTTCATTGTAATATTTTATATTGATTCATTAATAAAAATCCTTTATCACAGGGCAGTTATTTTGAAGAGGTTACTTTATATGTTTTATTGAAGAGTAATTTAGTCCAACTTCATTTTTTTTTGACAACACTTTGGTTATGATCGTATGTGATTAAATAAGTAATTCAATTTTAGTTACGCTATAATCAACGAACGGTTCCAAATCGGTTTCAAATTTTCCTGAAGCATACATTTATTTATTCCTGGGAAATTTGTTGTTAAAAATAACTATTTGAATGAATATAAATTTGTTGAAATTACTATATATTATACTGTTATGAAATTTCATTTCTGTTTCCTTACCTTCTTACAATGCTACCCTAAGTGGAAACATGTTATCAAACAATATTAACCAGTGAGTTATTCTATTTTCTTTCTTTTTATTTTGGTCACTTGATAAATATTCAGTAATATATTTTTAGTAATATTTTTTTGAGTTAAATATTTTTATTAAAAGGTCGTATGGAGGTACTGACTCCGCTCCAACAGGGGGACCATCAAGCAAAAGGCTGCAACAGACTCAAGCACAAGTTGATGAGGTTTGAATTGCCATGAATAGTGTGTCTATCATATGAGTGTTTATGCTAAGTACCGGTAAAATATTATCTCGACTATATCATGCTTCGGTTTTCTGATTATGGCAAGTTTCAATTTTGTGGTTTCTTCACAGTGGGCTAGATTAAACAAACATCTCCAGATTATATTATTTTAGTTTTTAGTTGTATTTTAGTTTTGGTTTTTAAAACCAAATTCAATAGAAATGTAATATATTTTCTGATATATAAAAAAAAGTCTATTCCATGATTTATATGGTTTGTTGGTTTGAGACTTATTCAAATATGAGTCAACTACTTAATCTGGACACTGTCACAATTTTTGTGCTACTGCTGCTACTCTACTTTCCATTTTATAATAGGTAAGCATTACAACTAGCAACAGACTAATAATGGTTTTTATCTCTAATACAGGTGGTAGATATTATGAGGACAAATGTTGACAAAGTTTTGGAGAGAGATCAAAAATTATCTGAATTAGATGACAGAGCAGATGCACTACAACAAGGAGCTTCACAATTTGAGACACAAGCTGCAAAACTCAAGAGAAAATATTGGTGGAAGAATTGCAAGGTATATTGAATCACTTTATTGATAAGTTTCGAATAAATACTAAAATTGTTTCTATCAATGTTGAGTGATAGTATGTCCTGAAATTGAATACTGGATTTGAGCAACAAAGTTTGCAAACCAAATATATGTTATCAATGGAGATTGTCTTTACTTTGGACAACATATTTGCTCATAGGATGGAAATACGAGACCAATAATGATCAACATTGTAGTGTTTTTCATGAACTTTATCACAGAAATATGTAGTTGGCTTTTTACGTGTGTATTTCCATATATTATCAAGTTTGCAAACAAAGATATGACATATGATTTTTATTCTATTTTAACCATTCATACAATTAAAGTAAACAATTGCATACATCAAAATATATTTATGATCATATGATTGTGACCTGTATTTTACATTTATACTACATGACTAAGCATTTTACATTGAAACAAAAATTTTGAATAATGAATAAGCACATGATAAGATGTTTCCATATCTTGTTTCACTTCTCTATTTGTTCATTGAATAATTTGCTTCTGTTTATTCACACAACATGTTTATTTAAATTTTACAAATAATTTACTATTCTGAAAATATGATATCATAATAATCTATAGTGTAAGTGAATTTAACATAGATTTTCTCTTTCTGTGGGTATGATTTATACATTTAGAATGTGAATTCACTTTTCAAGTTGCAGTATTTCATGAGGACTACAGTTTGGAATATTTTGTAGAAAGCATGCAAATATCACCATACTTATTAGTCGCTTAATAACTGTTATTTTCAGTTGTTCTGACTCCAACATTTTTTGAAAATCCCTTGTTTTTCACAGATGATTATCATGCTCTCAGTTGTTATCATAATTATTATCGCGATTATCGTTAGTAAGTACTTTCAATTGCCAAATAGAAGTGGCATTCGTATTTGTCCAAGTGAATGTGGTGTGAGCATGGAAAGCTAGTCAGTTATTTACTCTTGTTGATAGCTCTCCTGTTATCAACAATGTTTTTTTCAATGTATCAGTGCTTTAAAGGAAATGTCAATTACTATCATTGGTGCTCAGGAATGTATACAGAAATTTTGAAAGCATTTGGCCAACTACTGATAGATTTAAACAGCTGACATTTGACTGGCTTGTTCTTGCCAAATTGTGTTTACACAAAATCTTGAATGATCTAAGCCAGTTGAACAACTTCTGTCCTTTCTAAATTTTTGTAACATTAGGCACTAGTGTAAGTGCATTAGCCAAGTCTCCATTGCTAGTATAATCCTATTTTGATCGATACTGTATACTATTTTGGATCTCATTGTATAATTTGACTGTTTCAAAATTTCTGCTTGCATTATTTGCTTTTTATTTTGTCTTGTGTGTTTGCAAATATCAATGTTGATAAATGTTTTGTGTCTTTTTCAGATGTGGGCCATTTTGATTGTTGTTATTTTAGCGATACTTATTATTATCATAGGTGAGTATGAGAAAAAAATATTAGTAATTTGATAATTTTATATATTTTGCAGATTAAGGCGTTCATTGCATGTTTGGGTGTCTTTTCTATTTTCTTTTCGCATGCATGCTTTTTTCTAGTATAACACTATATTACACACCAGTAGAAACAACAATTCCTCCAAGCTGCCTCATTCTATCGTTGTCTGCTTCTTTATTAGGTAGCCGTTTAATGTTTGAGTCTATACTTGGGTTCAATCCCGCATCACTTGCTCATATGGGTGTATTTCGAGCAGGGAAATACATGAGAGATATCAAATAACGGAGTAGAAACATATGAATTTTACATCTATTAGGATGAGATATTTGATATTATTGTGCTACAATCCAAAAACAAGATATCTTTTTGTGTAAGGAGCAAAGCTCTCATAAATACTGTACAATGATTAATAATAACTGATATTTAGCCTATAAATGTAGATTATGTACATGTATCAAAATTTTATTGAGAAGATGTAGCAACTAACAATGTATCAATAATTGTTGAATAAGAGGTTTCAACCGAAAAATAGTTTTGGAATTGTAATACCAAAATACTGTCCTTTTGTTCTGGCACAGAAATTGTTGCAGAATATTACAGCGCATTGATTTGCTATTTGAATGCAGTAGCCAAAGCGACTGCTATAAAACCCTGTTTTAAGCTGGCAGTCGGTCCGCGCACTGGACGGAGTAACATGAATATTTCATAGCCAGTCGGTATTCTCAGTTCAATAACTTGACTCAGCGTCGTCTGTTTTCGCGTGAAAAACAAAGGCTACATGCAAAAGCTGCTATGAAAACGCCGATTGAGAATAAAATGTTCGACAGTGCGTTTAAAATGATCATATTATTTCATAAATGGTGAAAATTACAATTATCGATGGACGGCAAACGATCCTGAAACCCGTTTTCGGCGGAATTTGTCACAACTCCTATGGATGTGGTCGATTGTATTCCGCACAACTTACCATCGTAAATTATCTTCCGCTGTTATATTAATAAGAATGTCATTTCCGTCGATGTTTTATTGCGAAAAGCAGCTGGGAATAAAAAATGCATTACATCGCTCGCAGCCGGCGGCAGATGTGCTTGTCGGCATTTGGTGTAACGCATCCGCCCATAAATCAATATGTCAATATCGCAAGTCTCAATCCCTCCCCGGCAGTTCATCGTTTTTTCCCTCCTCGTTGAATATCGCTATCCTTTTTTCCTTGAACTCTGGTGAGGAATGTTCAACTTTGTTAGAATAAGAACTATTAACCATTCGATGAATAACTTTGTTTACGAAAGGCGTTGCGTCGAGGCTCTTATTACTTAAGTTATCTAGACAAAAAGATAAACTTTTGTAAACATATCTTGTCCGAAAAACCTAATTTATTTTGAGTTTCGTAGTATAAAATCCAAGCGGGTAGTTTGCTCCCGCGTGACATTTCGATCTTAGTTGACGGGCAAGAGTTCGTCGAAAATATTTGTAATATATTTGGTCGGTGTTATTATTGAGTCATTCAATTCCAACTAAGAATTTGTAATGAACTACCGACAGTGTCGTCCGTCGCCGGCTTGCTTGCCGTCGCCTGATCAATGCTCAATATCGTGACACGTGACTCGTACTTATCGCGCCAAAGAATTCTACGTTCCCGGGAGTGTTGAACAATTCGCTCGAGATTTGACATTTCATACTCGACTTGAAATGTGAATCGACCGATTTTGGACAGGTCATCATCGATTGGCAAAAGGTTTTTCTCTTATAGCAGTAGGGAATGCGGTTTCTCGTGGGTCGAAAACGTTAACCTGGTTTATTTTGGAACCGAAATCCCTCTTCCCAATTGATAATACACATTGGTTAGTGTATTGATTTTTATAATGAGTTAGGAGTGTATCTACAAATATGTGCAATTCAAATATTGGACTGAAAGCAAAGCATTAGAAACTGATACATAAAGCATGTTCAATCATGAATACTTTTTAGCATATTTATAAGAACTCTAATAAAATGATTAATATGACACATTTTGATGAAAATACAATATGTTATCAAACAAATCTTTTCGCCGGAATATGCACAAAGGCTGATGAAAATACTATTCTGCACATTTTTAGTCGTTTTCCAATTTAGATACATACGTCAATGAAAATTGGTTACATATGTAAATAAATTTATTAAGTTAATGCAAACCACTGTTCTGCACGTTTGCACACTCTGCCCACCATATATGCATGTCTTTCGTTTTTCCGTTGCATGAACGAATCATCTTCCATCCTCTTTGAATCATGTATCACTTCCTTATTTAATTATATTATGCTATGTTCTTAATCAAGGGATGGATTTTTTATATACTTTGTGTGCTTTAGCATGGCACTCTAAGATATAGAATTATAATCATTAATATTATGTTCGAGAAGGCACGGACCATTCATAAATTAACTAGTCTGCAAAGACTATCACCTAATCGTTTAACTGTATGTAACTAACAACATTGATTTGCATTTTGCCTTTTCTTTTCACGCTGCTTTTGCTTTCTTCAGTTTACTTTTCTACCAAATGAAAAGTGTGATTTGACCAGGTATTGGATGTTTTGGATTAATTTTCTTCATTCAATCATGCTTTTTGTGATTATTGCATTAGCCTAGATACAGACCCACTTAAAAAAAATTTCAATACTACTTCCCTAAAGTATAACCAAGTCTAACCGTATTACATATTTTGCTGAAAAACTAACTCATCCACTCAATATCAGTGATAATTTATGTTTATCGTGTCAATTTTTGCATTAATTCTGATATCTTATAACATTCTTGACAAATACCGCTGATATATCTTCTTTTCTGGCATGTCAGTAGTTAACTTAAAATGCCATTCAAGTGAGTTTAGTTCTCCTTTGTTCAAGTTTTTTTGACTTTTTATTGAGGCATATAAAAAAAATTATAGTGCTGTGATGACAGAAGAAAAATCATGTTGATAAGTCTACTGTAGGAAGCCAGTGCTTCGTTTTAACAAAGAATTTTTTGTCTTTCAGTTTCTGTAGTGACCAGCCAATAATCAACGTTTTCATGTATAAGATGGAACCAACACCAACAACAATGTTGTCTTTCTTTCTTGTTAAGAACTAAAACACACCTATCTATCTGTATTTTGTGTGTTAAACGGACTCATTCGAATGCGACAAGTTTGTTCATATAAACAAGACAAGTTTTGCTCTGGTGTACATATGATGATGTTGTTTTCAACCTTTTCTTGTCAACTGTACTGCATTTTTTATCAACTGATGTACTCTTCTATTTGTCTTGTTTGGCCAAGAATGTTTTATCAATGACTGCTCGCTCCCACCTGGGCTGTATTTTCAAAGTAATCATTATCCCAATAGAAAATAATTCTTATTGAAGGCTGTAACAAGTTTTTTGTTCAACAATGTCATTTCCACATTTTGGCGCAATAAATGCTTGTCATTACTGAATGCTGCTGTTTTAAAGAAGGGCTTCAAATTCATTGTTTATACCCGATTCACCTCGATATCTATGATATTTATAGATAATGTTCTTGGTCATCCATTTCACCTGCTGTATTTTTAGCTACCTTTTAAAATAGTAATTACCATACGTCTCGGTGAAATGAGGAGACTAGTGGAATTTTTATTTATGGGTTCTTGTAACTCATGGTATATTTCGTCCTTGTGTCCCCAAAGAAAACTTACAGACCCTGAAAATGTGTGTAATTCTATTTCATAGAAGCCACTTAGAGCTAATTCCATTTTTGCACAATTTAGCTTTTGTCTGTAACTATTTATAATATAATTCTTTCACTTTATTGCTAGAGCCCCATTGGCACAAAGTTCCATTTAACAGTTCATTGGTATGGTTTGGTGTCAAATGATAATAGATTCATCCCTCTGCTTTCTCATTTGTGTTGGTGAGAACAGAATGATCATTGTTTTGAAAAATTGATTTGGCTTTTTACTGAGGAAAGAATAAATATCTGCGATAAATAATATTCCATTGGGGGCAATTTATGAGAAAAATGTATTATTATCGTTTTCTATATGTGAATTATACAGAATATTGAGGGATAAGTTATTTGGGTGAGGATTAGGTCATTGACATTAGTTAGATTGTTAATCTCACATAACCTAACTAACATCTAGTTCTAGACTAAATATTTACTCCCTAAGTTTTTTAAAATCTGGAATTCTCTAGCTAGCACCATCTGTTTCCTATAAATTATTTTACGTTCATTTGTTATATGGATGGTTAATCATATGATTGAAATATTTGATTTGCTGTATGGTTGTTGCTCCATTTTCCTCCAAAGCCGTAGTGGAAATGGGCATCTCATTTATATACACTTAATATTATGCTTAATATATATAATTGTTATGTATTACTAGTTCAGTATCTTTCAATTTTGTGTTTGTCGTTTCATCGTGGTTATCACATATTTTACAAAATGTTCAACCTCGAATTTGGCATATTGGTAATTACAATTTCTCCGAAAAATGTGTTATTTTCTGCATATCGGTCATGAAAGTATATGGTAATTGTGCTAATAAAATGTCTAAACACAATGATATCACTGTAATGTTTTGTAAATCTTCTTGTTTTCCATGATAGAGTAAGTCCAAGGCCAAAGAGAACATGAGAAATTACACAATTTGGATTCATTTTTCTTATGAGTGTTAGCTTTAAGAAACTGCCTACCTAATCGTTTCAGACAGACATAATACCATTTCTAGAACTTGCTTAAAGCTCTCGAGCATGGCAAATTTAGTCAATTCGTGAGACTAAGGCTTTCAATCAAGAATGTACCAATCAAAGGCTATCCAACTTAGCAAATTTGATATTAATCTTATCTCGACGTCAGAATTGCAAATAAAATATATCTGTTCGAAATTATAAGAAGCCTGGGTGTATGTATAGGAGAGCATTGTATTACTTTAACCTATAATAGCAACTTCAAACTTGCACCTACATTTGTTTTGAGCATAAGTTGCCAATGCTTCCACTCCTACAACATTTGTTCAGTTTATTTGAGAAGATATATTTGAAAAAAAAATTGGAATTACTACCAAATTTGTAACGAAATAACGTTTATTTACAAGTTGTTAAGCATGGTGACAACCTTAATTCCCAAACTTTGGGGAAACTTTTTGATCTCGGCTGTCAATGTGCTGCATATTGACTAACTAATATTATCCTTCCAGCATAGAAAAACTCGTAATAAAATGGAGCTTGTAAATTCAGAAATAATGGTGACTTTATATAATTTGAAAAACAGTGGACAAGTACTGTACATAGTTGAACAGTTTTACATACATGCTTTGCAGTTTTTGAAGAAATTGTGGAATACATATATTAAGGCACTTATTAAGCATAAAAGTCCTCTTACAAGTAATAAATTCATGGAAGAATTCAGATATTTAAAAACAACTTACAAATCCCCAAAAGTAAATAAAGTTAAACCAGGTGCGAAATATTTAAATTTGGTTTCCCCGTAAAGGTAGAAGTATATAGAACTCTGTAGATAACATTTCACAGAAAGTATCCCTAAATGTTATTATGAAATTTGACTCCAACTAGTGGAGCGTTGTCTAAAGGAAAATGAGTAAGAACAATCTGACCAAAGTTAGTTAGCAATGTATATAATTTTATGCCGTTCAATCAATTCAATGTCTCTTTCGAGTTGTTTCATTTCAGCCTCCATTCGTTCTTTACGATTCTTCTTTGGTGCAGTGTCTGTAACAACCGACAATCCTTGATATTGATGATGAAGTTCTTCCCAGTTCTTTTTCAGACCGCCAATTATTCCATCCCGTTCCTCATCAGTCAATTGTTTCATTGCACCCTGTCGCATCCGTTCACGTATATAATGATCATACTCTTCCTGCGCTCGACGAGTTTCTTCATTTCGTTTTTTCAAATATTCAGGAACTGTGCCATAGTCATTCTTTTTTGTATATTTTGGAACCAAACCCGAGTGTTCGAGGAGGCCATTATCACCCCACCTTGTGTCAACATATTTTGGCACAGGCTTTTTAGGTACGGACATTATATTTTCAACAGCATTTGTATTTATAAAATTTTTGTTTGTGCGAATACCCATCAAAGGTTTGTCATCTTTCCTTGGAACTGGTGGCTTGCGACCAACTTTGTCATCAAAAAAAAGATCTTTCCTATCTGGTAACTGGGGCTCTCCAGATCTCTTTTTCAGAAATTCGCCAGGTGTGGGTACATCAACTTTTGCTGGTCCCATAGTCTTGTTGGGAGACCTGTTTTGTTTAGTTTCGTCTTTAACTGCCGTGCGAAATTTCGACTCATATCGGGGCGGCTTAGGAGGTTTTTCTATTTTCATAGGAATTAAATTATATATACTTTCCATGCCTCCGTCCATTTCGCTGTCAAATTTTTACTGATCAACTAACTAAGAACCAAGCAAACACGACTCAGAGCGAAAGCCGACTATCATTAGCAAGATGCCACTTATCGTCATGGCAACAAAACGAGTAAACTGAATCCGATGTAGAAATTACCATATTCCATATATTATGCAATACCGCCAATGCAAATCATGCAAAAAATATATAACATAAGATGAAAAACATCATACTATTTATTTCATAGCATTTGCAGTAAATATTATTATAAAACTACTATGCATATAAACTTTGATAAAAGTCAAAATATTTGTCTCCAACCTCCACCTAGTGAATAATATCGTCATAGAGATAAACAAAGCTGAGAGAAATTTGACTGGGTTTTCTGATCCGTCAAGTTGGAAGTTTAACAAATGTAATGCCAGCTAATAAACGCCCATCGTTTTATACACCAAATGAGGTCGGACTGCACAACACCATAAAAGATGTTTGGGTATCATATTTGGGGAAAGTATACGACCTCACACCGCTTTGTGAAGAATATTCAGGTGAGATAACTGACCATACATGACTGCATTACATCAATCGTAACATCTTCAATACTTTCTATTTTTAATATCTGTTTTTATTTTCTAGGTGATATTCTGTTGAAACCCATCATAAGCAATGCGGGGAAAGATATTTCTCACTGGTTTGATGATAAAACAGCAGATGTGAGCTCATTAATTTTTTTCATCTTGTCACTCTTAAACACAATTTCTACACAGTTTTTTCAGTCAGTGTAATATACATTTGTGTCGTCATATTTTAAACCAACTTCATTTGCATTTATTGATCTGACTTGAGCAAGTCTTCTTTTAGTAATATTCTTCATTAATACTCCTAAATTATGCCTAATCCCTAGTGGTGTTATTGGATGGGTGTGTTTATCTGTATCCCACTTGTACCAATGTTTAGTAAAAACTGGTTTCACCTATATCACAAGCAAAGGATGGGGGAATTTATAAATAATAGTTTACATAATACTTTTATAAATAATAGTTTATATTTTCTATAAATATATAAGCAAATTTGGAAGTGCATACCAAATTCAATTGCATGATTAGGTAAGTTATAAACATATCCTATCCATTTTATATTAATGGTTGAATCTGAAAATCAATCAGAGATATATTCTTTGTCTCAAACTTCATATTATTGAAACATTCAGATTAGAACGCACATAGACCGGAAGACAGGAACTCGAAAGTATCACACTCCTCATGGCAGATTTGTCCATGTCCCTCCATCATGTCCTGCTTCAGACTGGGCAAACGATTTTGGCCGTCCTTGGTGGAAAGATAACAAATACGAAGTTGGAGTGTTGAGCGCGAAAACGAGATTGATCAGAATAATTAATACCTTAACATCTCAGGAACAAATTATTGAGGTATGCCTATTCAATAAAGTTTTGTTCAGAGCAAATGTATGAAAACATTCTACTTAACTAACAGGTTTGATGGCGAAAAATAGAATGAGCGCAAGTTATTACCAGTCATAGGAATGAAACTAAAATATGAATGGAAATATTTTACAAAAAGTAATGATAATTTACCCTATAGACCCGGGGTGGGCAAGGTTTTTGGACCAGGGGCCAACGTTTTTGCCCACCTACACTGGCGGGCCATGTGTGACGTAAAAAGTTACATTTTATAAACAATATTTACAGTGTTACTAAAGCAAAAGTGGAAAACAATAAGCCTTGTGCCAAAACTAAATTCAATCTCATTCTTAACAAATTCTTTGAGCTATTTTTTAGATCAAACCTCAAAATTCGGTTTTAGTTTGGTTGCAGCAGCATCAGGCAGGTCAGATTAAATCACCAAACAGGCCGGATTTGGCCCGCAATTTGCCCATGTCTACTATAGACCACATCATTTGATTAAACTAAACTATGATACCATCTCAATAAGTAAAAAAATTTGCTTCCATACTCAATCAAAGCAGGGTCCCAGGGAATCAATTCCACTTTCTTGAACCATAAGGCTCACTGACATCCACGTAAAAAAATCAACTCTGCCACGTCCTAAATCTAATTTAAATAGACCATAAAAACAGACATAGTTGCGAAGAAAAACTTAATTTAATTACTCAGGTATGCTCCGAAGAAAATATGCACGAAATATTGAAGAGGTATCTCAAGTACAACGCACATGCCAGCAGTTACACATGGAAACATGACGGAGTTCCACTGGACATGAATAAAACTTTGGAAGAAAATGGAATATCCGATCAAGATGGAGACTTTTATGATCTAAGCATGGATTATGAACAGTGGACACCTGGCATCCACCTGTATTTTAACGATGACCTAACAGAAGCTTAATATAATTTCATCCATTTCCAAATTCACTTTTCAGGGTTTGTAAATAAAAATAAGAAGCTTAAAGTTAGTGCCAGAAGAAGTTTCCATATTGATGCATGATCTCTGCAATTTTAAAGGATTAAGATTTGTTGAGCCCTGTTATTTGTTTATACTTCTTAGCTTAGATATTTTTCACGATGTATTTAACTGATTATAAGCCTGTTTCCTAAGAAACTCTCTGTACCAAATACAAAATATTCAAACACCATGGAACATTTTTTATGTGGAACCATTGTTCAAAAAGACATTATTTGCGCAGGATAGCATCTGAAAGGACAGTTACCAGCTTGTCAATGAAAAGGCATCATCTCTGCAGATTGTCATCATACCTTGGAACAGAACATTTTGGCCACTCAAGCAGCTCGGTTTTCGCTACTTTGTGGGATCACCTTGGCGGCCCTCCACCTCTTCTCATCCTAGGAGGAGTTATTCGACCTCTACCTCGCCTTTTTCGGCCTCTTCCCCTATCTTCTCTATTTCGAAAACCTCTACCACGGCCTCTAGCTGGTAATTCGCCCATATCCATTAAACTAGGTGGTGCATCACCAAGTGGCCGATCGATACCAGGTCTCTGCATTTGTCCGAGTGGATCAATAGGTCCTCCATTTTCATCATAAAATATCTCGGGCTCCAAACCACCCTCCAAAGGTATACCATACTCCTCAAGTTCTCGTATGAGAGCCATATCTTCTTCATTTCCGCTACGTCTAACCTGTTCATATAATTCATCACGCAGACGATTTTTATCAGGCATATCGTGTGACATCCTACGCATTGGAGGACCCGTGTCTCCACCCATTCTCCTTGCGTGTTCAGGTGAAGGAGGCCCAGATGGTCGCCGGCCACCAATTTCTGGTCCAAAACGCTCACCTCTTGCACGCTCAGGGGAGGGGGGCCCAAGGCGACCTCTGCTACCCATGTCAGGTCTAAGGTGATCGGGTCCAGGTCTTTCAAAATTGCGACTGCCCCTATCAGGCCCTCTACCGCCAAAATCATGCCCAGGACCCCGGCCATCAAATTCAGGGCCTGGCCGATCAGGCCCCCTGCTACCTAAATCATTGCCTGAGGGCCCTGGTCCCCTGCCTTCTCGATAAGGGCTGAGCCTTTCTGGACCTCTAATACCTCGATCATGCCCAGGGCGTTCTGTGGGGCCCCTGTCAGGACTAAGTCTCCTGTTTTCAGAATTAGCTTGAATGCTTTTGATTTTATCAGGATCAAAATCAGCAGTTACTTCAAAACCATCAACAAAAATTCGACCGTCATCGTCACTTTTATCTGAGTCTTTAGGTCCGTTGCGAAAATCACGACCAGGTTTGTCCCTAGGCCGATCATCGAACCTGTCCCGCCATCGATGTCTTCCAAAGTCTCTATCTCTGTCGTGGAAACGAGGTGACCTTGGTCGATCTGGAGGAGCACCTTCCTTATTAGCTTCCCAAGCTGCAACAAAGGCTCTTGGAACAGGTCTTGCATAGGGTATCTTTCTTCTATCATACTGCGATGAAAGCTGCAACAAATTTACCACATATTAACTCAGCGTATTGTTCTGGGGGAAGTAAAATATGCTACAACTTTAAGTAAAAAAATTAGGATCTAGGATAAACTGGGGTTCAACAAAGATTCAAGTGAGTGACAATATATGAAATATATATATAAATTTCAAATCCAATCCTTAAAGAATTCTTCTTACAATATAACTTCTGAATAATGAATTTTTTCTGTAAAATAGGTAACTCTGTATTCAGTATCTTGCGAGGGGACATGAGACTGCACCCACATGAATTAGCTGCTATATTGGCTTTCTTCTCTTGAATAAATGGATATGATTTATATTTCCAAAAAGATACATGTAAAAATTCGCTGAAACTAACCTTTCTTTCAAATTCATTCTTTTCCTCATATGACCAGTCAAGTCCAGGAATTCCGGATTTCTGTTCTTCCTCATCTCGTTTTGCTATATCTGCAGCAGCAACATCAGCATCACCCATACCTACAATCAGACAAACATGCCAAACGAATGTCACTGGTAACAATTAAACAATCTCATTCAATACAAATGGGAATATTTTATAATATATGCACATTTTATCAATGATTGTAAATAAATGCACATGAACAATGAGAAAATGACTGAATGTCCAGTATAGCCAGCCGTCGTCCTCTGTCAGCGTTATTTTTAACAAATATGATCATTTGATATCAAATTTCAAACTTGAACAGTTAATTTTCAGGAAATGGATTGATATTTCAAATCAGACACTCAAAGTTACCTCTCATTACACTAGTGGCTGTGGCGCTTATAAAATATTTTTTATCCCCAAACTAAACTACAAGTCTACAACTAACCTGGAATTACTGGCACTTCATTTGATAGTTCGTGATGTTCTCTCAGAGAACCAGGAGCAATTGATGCAACATTTTCTTCTTGTGAAGGAGGCAGTAAACATAAATTATAACGATCTCGCATTGAGTCACCTGGACGACTTCGAGCCCAAAATTTTCTAAAAGAAATAAAAAATATGACAAAACGAAGATTCAAACTTTTAGGAATAAACTTTCTGTAAGACTATGAGGAGGTGTTAAACTTCAATGCCAAATTTATTGTTCAGAAAAATTCCAGTAACCCCGTAATTACTAAACATAGTGATATCAGTTGACCTGTTCATTGGAGAGTCTACTTACGTGCTGTGGTCATTAGACCCAGAAACAAGAACATGGCCAAGTGGATGCCAAGCTAAACTCCATATTAAGCTCTCATGAGCACCTTCTAAACAACCGGCCTCTTTCTCTTCCCTGTAACAAAAAGGTTCAACATTAATCAATGGTGCATCGATTAACCATAAAAATATGAATGACGAAGTATAATGTAACAAACTGTTTTGATTTCTCATTTGAATAATATGAAAAAATAAACAAACTGAAAAAGTGTGAATGTGTTTGGTGGCATTTTGGTGAATTCAGTTGATCAAAAGAAACTCCCAGTTTATTGCATGATTTTGCTGAAAAATAGATCCTGAGATCATAATAAATGTAATTCTGGCAGAAATTATAGATGACCAAACTGTAAATTTATGTGAATTTCAGATGCAGATCATGTGAAATAAATATTCGGTTTCACAGAATTATTTTAAAGCACAGTCGATCCATAGATCTGTTACTTACCCAACTTGCCAAAATATGATGCTTCCTTCAGACCCACCACTAGCAAATAAATCTTCATGTATTGGATGCCATGAGACAGAAAATGCTTCTTTTTTATGTCCTCTGAACACCTGACAGCAACAATAATAGTTTGTCAACAATTTAGTAAAATTTTTTTTACTGTAATAAATTAGCTTATTGGGACACATGGTATGGAATTTATAAACATACTATTAACTAATGTCCATCGACCAAAGCAAACTTTGATAATTAATTATTTAGCGGTAATTAGGATAGGATTTACATAATTATCCTGGGGGAGAGTAAAACTTTAGACGGCATATTCATATGGCGAACCACGGCCACTCGTCCCGTTACCAGTCCATGTCGGGTATGAATTAGTTACGGTAGCCAGGTATTTATTTCCAAAGGCATGGGCTTGATGGTGGATGAAGCCGTAACCGACAAGCGGTTACACAAATAATTATCCCCACATAGAATTCGAACCTGTGAAGGGTAATCAGGGGTGGTGAGCATATTCCAAGCGCTTAGCACGGTACTCAACACACTGCCGAGTCATCCATTGCAAGTCACTCAAATCAAAAATTACTGGAACGCCCAGTTTGTCCCTTTTTGGTTGTGACTTGTGAGACAAAAATAAACAAATCAGTATTTCTTCCAAACCTCACTTAAGCAAATCATGTTTTATGTGATGAATATAGAAAAAAAATGGTCAGCATCCGTGTACAAGAATTAAAGTCCTAATACCTGCATTTCTTGCTTTAAATTTCGAATATCAAAAAGTTTAATTAGATGATCACGAGAAGCAGAAAGAAGCCAGTTGCCATTTTGATTCCATTTCACATCCATAACAGTGCCTTTATGTGCATGTCTGACAAAATAAAATGATTGTAAAGTTAGAGGCAGTGCAAGACACTACGCATGATGATAGTAACAGACAACTGTAAATATATGTACAGCAGCAGCTGGGGATGGACTACCAAATAAACTACCATTCCAAATACATTCTAAAATAAAAGTTTGAAACAGGGAATATCAATATATTCTACATGTTCAACAAAGAGAAAATATAAATCAATGTATACTCAATGTGTATGAAATGAACAAAGTTAGAGATGAACAGTGATTTATTAATTATTTTTCTGATTATTACGGTTTTTAAAGCCATTCTTGATCATACTGTGAGACTTCAATTGGTGATTTCTCAAATAAAATTATTTAAAATTAGTTGCAAGAACAGTTAGAAATATTGAGAATATTTTTGTATTGATTCTAATATATAATTCGTTTTTTACAATGTATCAAGGCCCAGAAAGTATATCTCTTTACCCATTCAGCTTTATAATCTATTTTTCTATCACGTTTGTAAGTGGAAAAATGCATTTAATCAAAAAGAGTTCAAGAAGATGTGAAAGTTAATTTAAAAAAACATAAAATATCTCACAATGTTGTAAGACTCTGTCCTGACTTTGGATCCCATAGTTTAACAGGTGTATGTAAATCTTTACTTGCTGATGCTAAAATGCCTTTAGTTGGATGCCAGGCAACCTAAATTTTTGAATGAAAAAAGTGTTAAGGTTTATGCATATGGTATTGAATCATTGAGTCATTCACAAAGTAAGAAGATGAAGACACAATTTTGATAATTATTTTTCTACCTCACACTAAAAAATTAGGCCGCATGGACGAACCAAAAACATACAATCTTGTAAAGAATCATCATACATATTAAAGAAATTTTTCAACAAACCTGTTTTACATCTGCACCGTGACCTCTTAAAATTCTTTCCTCATGACACCGTAAAAAATCCCAAACTCTTACTGTACCATCATCACTAGCTGTTGTAAATTTATGATCGGTTGGTCCAAAACTAGAAAAATCAAACAATATTAATTAGTCATCCAAAGCAATTTTCCTGCCAAAAAAAAAATTTCTATTCTTATACTCAAAACAAAAATTGAGATTTTCCAACATTATGAAAACATAGGACATCGTCTATCACAATGAAGCTTAATAATGACCAGTACATTAGAGAAAAATGAGATTACGGTAGTCATGTAATAATCTGATCCCCTTTGGAAACGGGTGTATCCTTCTAAAAGCTAGGAAATGACGCTGTGTGTCTAGTAGAACCCATCATATATTGATTATGTTCGGGAAGTTGTAGACTCTTTCGAATCACATGGTTCACATAACAGCTTATTAGATCTTGCTTCAATTAGCGTCCATGCATTTGAAACTTTTACTGCAAGCTATGCCTATACCTAACCCAGATTATACAATGATGACACATGACAGGCAGTAGTCTGCCAAGTGCCAAATAAATGATCATTTTTTTGACCCACTAAAAAATATTCTTCTAAGTGAGGAATGGAGAAATTCTTGACAGAAGTCAAGTTTCTTACCTTACTGATCTACAAGCTTGGTCCTTATGTGCTTGATACATTTTAACATTGTTCATATTTAATTGCCAGTATTTGATGTAACCTTGATTATCTCCAGTAATAAGCCAACTATCGTAGTTTGACCAAGCCATTGCACGGACTGGACAATCGTGGGCCTAAAATGAAAAATCAGTCAAATTTAATAGAAATTCGTCACAACAGACTAATCTAGGAATCTTACACAGAATTCAAAATTCTTTTCACCTGAAGAATAGTTTCAAAATTAAATGCAGTTCCATTCCATAATGTAAACTCTCCACTTGCAGATCCTGTAACGAGACGTCGACCATCAGGAGTCCAAACAACCTAAAATGAAAACGAAATGTCTTTTTAATTTATCTTAAATGATATATGAATTCAAAGCATTTAGTATAAAAAAAAAGCCGCAACAGCAAACATCCACTGAAATTCTCAAAAGGAAGGCCACAAGAAACTGTATAACGTTATTGTGGTGGCAATAAATACTGCTTGACACAAGATGCGTTCTGGCAAATATTAACAGAAGGTAATGACTGGAAACTATTTTAGTTCACAAAAAAGGAAAGGATTGTATATTGTCTATATACCAGTTCTGACCCGAATTAATATGGTTTATGTATCAACATCCCAATATTGAAATTTTATCTTTCTATAGAAGTTGTGCATTGAAGAAACATATAAAACAGCTTTAAATTGGAAAAACAACGGGAGACTAATATCAAAATAGCATATCTGTTTGTGTGCCAGTTGTTGGTCCTTTTTTTGATGCCCAAAAACAGGGGTGTGCAACCTCAAATACCAGGGACAGATACAAATAACTGGGGCTGCACCTCTATTTAACATAGGTTTTCTGGTAGTTGCAGGCACAAATTAGCATTGTAATGTCATAGGCATAGTCTGCATTGATAATAAATTGAACTCAGGTATAGGATATGCAACGCAAAGTTATTGTGTTTGCTCGCACATACCCCAATGAACTAAATTATAAACTCGTTTTGCAGGCAGCGCACAATTCCAAATTCACACTTCTACGAGGACTGCACAATTTTTCCTTGTGGGCCGCAGGTTGCAAACCCCTGCCCTAAAAGATTCCTCATATAAGTGTTGGATCGTGAGCCAAAGCCTCGTGTTAAGAAAACTTTGACTGAAATACTCACCTTATAAACTGGACATTTCATTTTATTTGTTGCACTTCGAACAAATTTTGAAGTTATACTGGAAACTGGATTTCCTCTATATGCAATTACAGATTGCATTTCAATATTAAAAGAAGTATTTGGCATTAATTCTGGGACATCAGTGAAGTCTCGGTCAAATCTTCGATTCTGTTTAAAAGATAAGAATATTATAGCAAAATAGAAATTACCGTAGGTATGAATCAGGTCAAAAAATGCCATTGATCTTTCTTTGTTTTGCAAATCCAATTGCTAAGATGAGAATTGTGCGCATCTATTTCGAATCTATTCCATCAGCGACTTATATACAAAAAGCTATGGTAAACATTTCAGTGATAGTTTTGTCAGGTATAGACAGTTTATCCTTACCAATGCTCATAGTAATAAACAGGGTTCTAACTTCTAATTAATGAACATATAAGAATATAGCACTGAAACGTGCTAGAATTCTGATAATTCTTTACAGCTGTTTTGCAACTGGTCTGGGAAACTTTCAAAAAATATTATCTTTAACGCAATATTAAAATTAAAATATTTTTGTTTTGTAAATATTTGCTTAGCGTGAGGTCATAACTCCTACATGTGCAATAGAAGTACAGTTGTAGATGACCACTGAAGCACCAGAAGCTGGAAGAAACCTAAAAAACATTTTATTGATGCAGTTATTGGGAACCAACAGATGAGAGATTTATTTACGGATGGGCTCAGGACCTGGAGCAATGCTCGACAAACGACAACCTTTCAGGTTCTTTAGCGGCCACCCTTAACGGCACATAATAATCTGGAATGTGTACCTTTAAATATATGAATAAAATGCTTAATAGTGAAATAGAGATATTTTCATTTCACATGGTAGATAAGTCCTGCAGCACGATATGTAAAGCAGCTCACCCTATAGTATTGCAGTATACCCCATGTATCAAAAGAATCAGCTTTTCACAACAAACTTTGTTGAAAACTAATCAACCTTATCGTTTGGAACTTACCTCTAAATGAAGAGCACATGATGATGTCCAATCAATCACCTTCCTTCCCATTTTTTTTCTTCCAGTGATGTCATCAGGTAAAGCTGAAGATGAATTTTGCATACTATTTGAAGCTTGTGTATGGTTTGAACTACTAGGTTGATTCGGCATGTGTGAATTCATATTACGAAATCTATCTGACGGGTCACCAAGCGGTGCGCTGTTTGCACCTGATGCAACAGAATTCGGTAACATTGGAATGAGTTCATTTACTCTTTGTTTTATTTGTTGCTTTAAAAAGTTTGGTTGAAAAACATATGGAGTGTAGTTCCTGTAAAATAAAAGCATAATATTGAGCAACTTATTTGTAGAACTTAGGGTAGATATAGTAAATTTCCGGCGCTCCAGAAGTGTGTGTACGAATATGGAGGTAACTAATTTTGTTCGCATACTTTACATCAAGTTGTGTAAAGGAACTAAAACCTATGGGCATGGAGTATATTCACTTGGCTAACACAGACAGTCCCCGAACTCATAATAGAACTAAAATAAGGGAAATCGAAATGCAATTTTGGGCCAACCCTAACCTGGTACACACACTACGAGAGTACTAAATTTTCTACCAAAACCAATAAGCACTCGGTAACAATTTCAAATCGGTTCCAATACTTGAATCGCGCAAGAAAGAAGACACTGCATAACTTAGCTCTTTATAACAATTTGAAAAGATAGAACATAGAGTTCAGTTGAAAACTTCTCATAAATATATTATTACCTTACATCTTATGAGAATTTTTCTAGGGGCGTTACAACTTTAAACCTCCTATGAGGGTCCAGCATAAAACAAATCCTATAGGCTACACAGAGTAACCTTCTTTAAGAAGTTGTTTGAAAAATAAAGAAATATAAGAGATAAGGAGCAGAATCAAATCTTCTAGCCTTGTTCAAGTGCAAATATAGTAGTTCAATGGTTGACTTAGAGCAGGTATAAAATATTAACTCTCGTTAAATTTATTATATTTATAATGCGAAAATAATGGGGTCAACATTTCTAGTATAGATTATATAACTGACTTATGACTTGATCAAGCATGGCCACACACAGACTGAAATAAAATGGTTTGGTGAATCAAAACAAGTTCAAGATAACAACCAGACAACATCTGTGTAGTTATAAAAAAAGTAGTATTACCTAGGTCTCTGTACTCCAGGAAGATTTTGTGATGGTGACTGTTCAATAATAGCTTGACCCCCAGAAGGAGGTGGGAAAACAGTAGCCATTACTTCAAGTTATGATGAGAATTGTTTGTTGATAAGTTCGCTCTCTCCACCAACAATTCTTCTCCCAGAAATCAGTGTCTTTGACTTGTAACACCTAATTGCCGATTGATGCTATGTTTTGTCACATACAAGCTTAATACAAAAGTACTTGCCAAAGCCATGAATGTTTTAGTCTACATACAGACATGGAGATCACTGAAACATAAATACACATACTCATTAAATATGTTATAGCATAAAGAAATTTGCGTAAGATTCTGCATTATACTGGTATAATAATCATCTCTAAGGTTTTTTTTATTTAAAAGCTTTCATCACTCAAGACAAAATTTGCAAATGATTATTTACAGGTTATTATTTTTTCTGGCATAAATTCCAAACTATCCACCAAATGTAATTCTTTTAGCAACAAAATTTTAGCTACAATTACAAAGTTACTTTGCCCCTGAATATTTTAGATGCTGCCGCTTTGAAAATAAATAAATCTTTTGCAATGTTTTTTACTATCCGTTCACTCACTTAAGAATATGATACACACTCACATCATCATATATTCTACAACCATACCAACAAATACATGTATACAACACATAAGTTAAATACAACCACAAAGACTGGAAGATATATAAAAAATCAGCGGTTCAGATAAATTAATTATAAACCAAAGGCGGAAAGGGAAAATCAGAAAAAAATGAGTGAAAAATTATTATTTGCCATTCCATATAAAAAATTGCGTTACAGCGTTAAGGGTTGCCAAATTGAACGACTAATTAAAAAAGTAACCTATGCCAGTATGCCCTATACCAGTACAGGTATACTAGCAACTAAAAATATGTGTTAAAATATATCGACTAAGCTGATTATTGTCGGAGTCGGCAATCACAGAATCCTCAGAGAACAACGAACTGACAGATTGGCGAGTTCTACCGTGTCAGAGTGAATCAATTTAGCAATTTCTTAATTTTTATCAATCTCAAAAACATACGATCACAAGGACATAACTTCATAACAATACAATGAAAGATCGCAAATGCTGAAATGTATGTTAACTAATCAAAAAAAAGGTATTTTTCGAGGTCATAGGTCGGAGAAGAGCGAAATGACCAAGGTGAAGTATGGAAAAGATGTTTCCCATAGTATTGATTTATTTATTCTATTCCTTATTTATTTCGTAACAATGACCGATCCGTAAGAATTCAACAAAGACGTAACTATTGCAATTTGTGCGGCCGCTCGGGCACTTTTCTGCTCAGACAGATATTTAAGAATGGTCGTAAACATGGCCTCGTTTTCGTGGTTTTGCGTGTTATTCGTCAGTTTTCAGTTGTGTTTTCAAAAATTAGCTGTGAATCAAATATCTCCCTTGTCATTATGTCCTCCGAAAAATTTAAGTTGAAAAAATTTGTCCTGAAAAAGATGAAATACGCTACGCTAAAATTAGCTCAAAATAAGCATGGTATTTGCAATAGTAGAGAATGGGAAGAATTTTTCGGGGTCAAGAGTCTGGGAAACTTCCACTGTTCTATGCCATGATTGGCAGGGTCGCCATATTGGCTTTTTAACGCCAATTTTGGATTTTTTCAAACACGTTTTGCGTCGGAATTTCCGTTTGGCTTTTTAAAGTCTATTCTAGTGTCTATTATTAAAATCGTATGAAATACAATATTTAGTAAGTAACAATAGCCAGTTACCGGTACTTAGCTACTTAACATTAGGATTTCCCGAGCATCAAGTTTCTTGTTTATTACCTTAACGCTTATAAGAAATAATTGCAGTTTCTGCAGCCGCTCAGACAGATGTTTAAACAGGATTGTAAACATTGCCTCGTTCTTTATAGTTTTGCTTGTTATTTGTCAGTTTTTAGTTCTGTTTCCAAAAAATAGTTAGGCTATATGACTTAATTTTCATTATGCCTAATGTGGAGCTTTAGTTTAATTGCAGTAATCAAAATTTAGTCTCGCGAACGATGTGATTAACTACGCTGAAATACTGATTTAGCTATCAGTAGACCACCTGTAAGCAACACGTGGTTAGATAATTTTTTACTAAAATTGATGGATTTTAAATTGAAAAAATTTCCAGTAGTAAATTTTTTCAAGGTATATCCATTGAGATGTATATAACCTCAATCTATATATCACATGTTTGAGTAGAAGCATGTAGGTATATCACATACTGAAGCAGCACCCTGCAGGCTATTGTATATAGGCCTATTGAATGGTAAAATAATGCTGTCCGCTCAATATTTATTTTTATTTGGTTTTTAAATTTTTTAAACTGTTCCATATAGATGCCAGCTTGACTGTATTGTATTGAATGTAGATTCTGGTGCTATCATTCAATTAATTCTTTTTACTTTTAAATCTTTCATCCGACTGAAGTGGAAATCGCCATGATGGCAACCGAAAATACAACTTTCAATGGGAAAAGACGTTTGTGTGGCTCACCATATGAACTGATGGCTTCACATCAGCATCAGTATTGTGCCAAGGGCCTAAAATGTGACAAACCATGGGGGTTTTGTACTTAGTAAAATTGTTGGCTTTTTTTTTTTTTTTTTTTATGATTTGATTAAGCTTTTTTTGACCGCTGAGATCTTGCAACCCTGATGGATGGCGTTGGCGGACCATCTGTAACATTTAAGCTAATCAGCTACAATAACAGGAGAACTCAAATATATGGACAGTCGACCAAAACTAGTGGTTCCCAACCGCCGGCCCGCGAAGCCTTTTTGCCGGTCTGCGAGAAATATCAATTCGTTTTTTTTTTACCCGACGCCCTTTAATGGCCCGGCGACGTCTTGGCGCCGAGCAATCACACTTTTCGGTTCCGATTCATCACCAAAGCGCTCCGTCAAATCTCGCAAGATTTTGAAACCTGAATCAGCATGCGTAATTTTTCCATTCTGCATTCTTTTTTTATTCTTATTACCATCCAAATAAAAAGTTATGAATATTTCCGTGTTCAAACCCGAAAACAGTATATTCCAGAGCTTCGCCTTGACATCCAGCAAGATATGAACTTGTTCCGACCCTGCAGGGGATCTCGAGACGCGCAACAACTACATGAGCCGCTGAGATATTTTTCCAGGTGTTGTACAGCAGGATTTTGAGCCTGGTGCCAAATTAGCAAAGACTTCATTTGTAAATTCATTTTGTTTAGGGCGTCGATCAACTGCAGAGGGATAATATGATGAACCCGATAAAACCTCTACTGTAGGCCTACAGTCTGGATTTTATAAAAGAATCATTGTCACAATTCTTGAGCTCTTTTGATAACGAATACCCAACGCTAAGTAATCGAGCAATCAAGCTGTTGTCCCATTTTTCAACAAGTTACTTGTACGAAAAACTTTTTCATCACTAGCTTCAAATAAAACGGAGCAAAGACTGTGAGCCGCTGCAGACCTACGTGTTGCAAAACCCTTTTTTGATGTCCCGTTTGCAATCTTGTATTGAAAACAAAGCAGCAGCAGCAAAATTCTTACTAAAGTTAATTGTGTTTGTACATGATTTGGCATGTACATGTTTTATTATGTGAGATGTTTTCTGTGTGCCCTTTTTACGCTTAATGGGTGCCAAGCACTGCATTTTATTACGCAAATTTATGTTATTATTTTACTACACCGATTTCAATCTTTGGCCAGCACGTTATTTGATAGTTTTTTCCTCATGTGAAATGTTTTTAAGTTATCCTTTTTTTCTAGTGAGTGCCCGACATTGCACTATATTACGCAAATATGTGTCATTATTTTCTGTTTCACTTATTTCAATTTTGCCGGTCCGCGAGTACATTTTATTTAATTTTACCGGTCCGCCAGGGTATGAAAGGTTGGGAACCGCTGGACTAGACTACCTGTACATGTTTTTTATTTTAAAACGTAACAGGGGTGTTTTCCGAACTTTCGCATATTTGCATTGGTGGGGGAGGCTTTTTACAAAAGATTCAAAAATGTTCCTTTATGGACCACACTGATACTTACTTTTTTGTATCGAACTAGCTACCGCGTTTCCTCGAAAAAAGACAGGGTCTTTCTTCCTTTTTTTTGAAAAATATCACTAGGGCTTATTTTGAGGGATGTCTTTGATTTTCATTTATCAAAAACAAAATTACAAAGTGGAGAATTACGAGATTTTTAAATATACAAAATATGAATCGTGGTGTAATCTCACGTTATTTCAGGTAATTGAACCTCTCTCACGCTTTAGATTAATCATTTAAAACGTGTAGGAGAAATTTCTTGCTATCGACTAGGTCCTCTTAAGGCAGGGGTCTCCAACTCAAAATATGTCGCGGGCCATTTTATGAAATTTATTGACGACGCGGCTAACAAATTATATACAAAATTGCAGTGGCGGCGCGTCAATAGGGCCAACAAAAAATATTCGAAAAATACCTCAATATCGGTTGCACAGACTGTCTACACTAGCCATATTCTCCCGACATGGTTCATTTTTCGCTCGCAAAGCCTTCGCCGAACGTCGACGGGGCGACGCCGATTTTGCCCCGGTTGCTCATTGTATATCGTATTCTCTCTTTTATCTTCCACTCGCCGCGTTTGTCTCGTTTGTTTTCTGTTTCTTTTACTAAATCATCGGGGCTAGCCTCGAAATTATGACGACACAATGCCGACGTTTCTTACAACAACGTGTTGACATAATCACGCATTCCTTCTCGTTCGTTGGTTGCTTAAAGAGTTGATAGTTTCCTCGCCTTCGTTTTTGTCGCTTGTTTCGCTATTTGAATCAGTTAGAGACCTTTAGTCCATTTGCTTTCGATTTTCCACATTCCTTTTGAGCTCCTCACTTCTTTCCGGCTTCGCATTTCTTAGCCTTAGACCTCATAATGAATAAGGTCGATGCACTCAATGACATTAAACAACATGATGCGCAACTCCGGCATTTTTGTCCGAAGATCGTATTCGATAGCACGCTCCAATGCACATACTTGACGAGACGAAAACGAGCGGATGTGTGCTGCTTTCAAGGCGTAGCACGAATGGTGTTCGTGCATGCTTCGACAGTTGTTGTCGATTTTAATGATATTTTGGAAAGTTAAGGTAAAAAGAAATCGGAAAAAGGTAAGGTAAATACTATTGTGGTATATCACACCCGGGCATCGCACTGTTAAGTACATGTGGGAAAGACAGCCTTTGTCAAATACTACGAAGTTATTAATTCAGTACGGTACGTAGTTGCCCATTTGCCGAAATTACATATTTACTTACCCCTTATGGTTTCAAATATTTCATGCACCTCCAGTTAGATTCTTTTAATCAGTGAGGATATTTACTCATTGTTGATTGCTGCTCATTGTAATATACTATTGCGCATTCACTTATATTTGCGTTTTGAATCAAAGTGTTAACAAGTTCACCTAACATTTCACTCATACCGGTCTATCTTGTATAGTCTGATCTATCAAGTATTTGGAGCCGCGAATGCTTGTAATTTTCTGACTAAACCCTTTTATTAGTTGGTTTATATACCAAATTCAGTAAAATATGAGATATTGGATTTATTAGCTTTTCCATTCTAAATCATATAGACTGCTTTATTTATTCCTAACGAAAATTAATAAATCTCCTCTCTTTTTTCAGATGTGAAAGTTGTGGACAAACCTGTCTAAGCATTGTGAGACTCCTGCAGCACAAGAGGTAATAGCAGAAATAGTAAGTATATCAATCAAGAAATTAAGCCGACATAAAGCAAAACTTTCAACTATTCGTCTAATCTTAATTTCCTATTATTTATTCACAGGACAACTATAGCAGAAGGGGA